TTAAATATATTTTCAGCTTATAAATCAAATGATTGCTCTCAAATGATAAGATTTTGCAAGTATTATAAACTCCTATGAACTACACCTATAGTATATACCTGTACAGTCTATAGTATAAAATTATAATGAAACAAAATTCACATGGATTATGAAATATAACTGGTATCTTCAATACAAAAAAAAAAAAAAAGGAACAAATGGGGAGTTAAATTAAAAACTTTTACTATTTTTGATACCATTATACTTCCTGTTTTCATTTTTCAATTGTGAAGCTGAGAGAGATTCCACATTATTAGTATCAAAAAGTAAAAATAAATAATTCTGAAGAGAGAAAAGAAATCCCAATAAAGTAGTGAATTGCAGACTAGCTAAACTTTTCTGTCAAAACTTTTTTTTTTTTTTTTTAGTAATAAATACCTTCAGTTTTCCCTAAAACACCTTTATACCTTTACATAAATTTTGGTCTAAAATGCAAATTCCCATTAGGGTTTTTTTTATCTTCAATGAAATCTGAAAAGAAGTTTTGCCTAAGTATATTGCATACCTAGAAGTCTAAATTTAAAAGTTAATCTTACCCCATGTAAAACAAAAAAGAATGATTAACTAAGACCAGTTTCAGACAAATAATGTGATCTGGGATCTGTTTCTTTAAATACACACACACACACAAACAGAAATCTTGTGGCTATTTTGGCTCCTAAGAGATCTATCTCTCCACTTTAAAGAATTACTCCAGTTTATTGCAATTATTTTGTCTGGGAAAACTACACAACTAAATGAGTTAAGATGATTTTCAGACAGAAATGTACACCTTTTTTTTTTATTTTATTATTATTTTTTTTTTCTCCAAAAGGTTGTCTCTCATTAAAAAAAAACAGGACTTTTTTTTTTTTTTCTTTTCCAGTTCACATTTATGGTTTTGGTACAGAATCACCGTAATCAAAAGAAATTTCATATCTGGATAATTAGGAAAATCTCTGCAAAGATCTGAAGGAGCTTTTCACAAGAGATGACTAACAGCCAATTCTTTCTCAATGTGCAGACAGTTATCTTGGTCACTTTTATTAATTATGGCTGGATAATGAGCTTCTGCCTAAAGTAGCAAGATTCAAAACAACTGGGTGCTGTCTGGATCAATACGCCCACCATAAAATTCACCCAGCTGGAGTCATGGAGTCTACGTAACATTCCAATATTTTTTCTTGATGTGGTGGATTGACATCATCCAGCAGCCAAGCACCCACACAGGTGGCTCTCTCACAGCACTCACTCTACCCCTTGCCCAATGGAATTGGGAGAAAATATGAAGAACAAAAGCAGAAAAACTTGCAGGTCAGGATCAAGAAAATTTAATAGGTGAAGGAAGAAAAAAAAAAAAGTGATGGATCACTATCTCCCAGAAGCAGGCTGATGCTCAGCCATTCTCTGAGCAATGGCTATCTTGGAAGCCCAAACCAGCTCTCCTCCTTTTTCTTCTACTTCCAGTTTTCATTGCTGGGCACAACAATACCAACAATACAGTATTGTTGGTATACCAACAATACGGTATAACACATATCCCTTTGACCAGTCTGGGTCAGCTGTCCTGGTTGTGTCCCCTCTGAGCTCCTTGTGAATCCCCAACCTCCTGGCTGGGGGCTTTGGGGGTAGGGGAGGACAGAGGAATGAAGCCTTGATGGTGTGTAAGCACCTTCCATCAACAGCCAAAACACTGGTGTGTTATCTGCTCGGTTTTAACCACAAATCCAAAACACTCAATGTGAAAAATAATATAATATAATAACAATCAAATTCTTTATAATTACAAGATGTTGCATGTAACATATTGGTCTGTAAGTTATTCTTTTAGATAATTTAGATGTTGATAGATGCAAAAGTATCTCTTTTTCCTGTTTATTTATTTATTTATTTTTAAAGAAATGAGAAATGAATCCTTTTCATCCAATATTCCAAGTATTTCACCAAGTATTTGAAGCTACCTGCAAATAATTTTACTAGCAGACAATACTCATATATGAAAACAAGAAAAATATTTTGTGATTGTTCTTCCTCAGTATAGGCTGTGTTGTTTCTATTGGTGATTAAACCAGCTTAAAACTACTTGTCTAGACTGGGGTCTCCAAGCACTTGTCTTTGCTAAACAATGCTAAGAAGGCATAGTTGATATCTATGTCCAGCAGATCTGGACAACATTACCATGTTAGATTATCAACATGTCCATTCAAGTGTCCTTATCAGGACTTCAATACATTAGTGTGTACATTTAATAAAAATGACAAGATGGAGCCTTATTAAGTTCTGTAGGTGTAACTGCCTTCTAACACTCCTTGTCGGTGTTCTCAGAAAAGCAGCATATCTTCTCAGGATTACCTAGGGGAATACAATCTCATGATCATTCCTATCAAAATAGATGATACATATACATGAGTGTGATATGAGATTTTAATTACTACAGAGTAGAACACTTAGGCAGGAAACCAGACAGCAAGAGAAAATATGAGAGTGGAGTTCTCTAGCTTGAATTCATCACATTTTCTTTATATGAATAAAAATGAAGAATTGAAATAGACAGGCAGCTGGAAAAGGTGTCTATGAAAAAGGTAGTTTCTCGTGATATCACTGCTGCTGTATATTAACAAGGCAGAAAAAATAGGGCTTTGAATTTAGTGGTGGTCAACTGCAATGTGCAGTTAGACTTAGACAATATTAGAATATGTCCACACAGTATTTGTATTGCCTAAACACACAGCTTAGAATTTATTCTAAGAATTAATTGGCATCTCTTTGTAATGCAAACAGTTTCTGAAGGAATGAGTGATCCCCGTTGCACTCAGCTATTGAGTTTGTGAACTGATTTCCTGGAACAGAGGATCCTCAGCAGCCTGTTCAATAGCACCCCCATCACTTTGGATTTGATGATTCATTGTAATCTAAAGTCCTAATAGTATCTTAATGTTCTAATAATATCTCAATGTTAAAAAATGTTATGTAAAGCTAAAAATGTTTATTTGTGAGTCATGACGATTAGGTTATCTTCCTTTACTACAACATTGCAAGGTGCATATCCAGAAATGTTCATCTCAGTAAAAGGTTAAAATTGACCCTAGTTTTGGTTTCCACTATCAGATAGCAAATAGCAAGCCAGTGGTATTTGTGGGACAGGACAATCCTCTTTCTGCTTCTGTTTGCAGAAGTTAATTCATACAAAAGGAATATTAGAATTAATTTCAGTGTATAAATAAATATATCTATTCTGTATTTCTCACCTCAGTTCTAAAATTCTGAAAAACATATTGTCAACAGCCCTTCCTTTAGTCATCAAATGATCAGTATTCTTAACAGATTAGTTTTTATTGTTTTCTAAAAATCAGAAATCATTTCTTAAAAGTGAATATAATATTTATGTTCTATTTCCCTTGGCACATTTTTTATATTTGCTCACTAATATTTAAAGTATTATGTTTGCTAACTTCTAAGATCCCAACTATAAACACATAGAACATAAACATAATTCTCTGTATCTCTTAAACATACTTTTCCAGCATTTTATTTTTACCATATTACCAGGTTTTATATGCCATCGTAGCTGTGTGAGGGCTGAGAAAAATGTACAGAGATGGTCCTACAATCTTCACATAATACTTTAAAAAATTACTCATGTCTTAGTTTTCTGTATCCAGAGATAATAAAACCAATTTATTTACTTTAATTATAATAATAATAATACTGTTTCCATTTCCTGGCAGCTTGGTATCTAGAGGAACACCCAAGGACAAGAATATGACTTCATCATTAATGTAGTCGTTTGTTCAGATCAACATGTAAAAAAATTGAGGATACAGTGAGCAATCCCGTATTTTATTTTAGTTTAGTTTGGTTTATTATATTTATTTATTTTTGGTAGCAGAATAGTGCCATTTATTCTTTATTAAATTTATATATTGCTTGAACTATAGTGACTCAAAGAAATGGTTCTGGGGGATCATATAGGTCAAAACAAGTAAACAAAGAGGGAAAAATAGAAATATACCCCCAGTTTGGTGGGGAAGCAAAGAATCAACTAGAGCTATTCAAATGAAGATGAAAGTCTAACTGACAAGCCAGAAAATTATCTTAGCAATAAGGTTTCAACCAGATTACAGTCAATGGACCCACAGAGGTGAGAAAGCATAACAAATGAGTTAACAACACTTTCCTCAGAGTTTTGGATGACAGTGAATATTCCAGCGTAACTTGGAATGGTAGAAGGGAGGACTTAGAAAAGATGGGGTATTTGCTTTTGTATTTCCTTTGTTCATGTTATGAGTACATGTAGGAGAGGGTGTCAGAGGGACAAAATGAAATGCAGGAATGTAGTTTATTAGTCCTGTAGTAAAATTCTGTTTTAAGTGTAACCAATTTAACATTACATCTTTTACAACTTCCTTTTATCTGAATAGTCACTTGTCCTTGAGTAAACTAAATTTCTTCAGTTCTAGTCTTGTTAACAAGAAAAGAAGCAGTTTATAATGTCAAGAAAGCTTCCTCAATGATTCATTGCTTAACACAACGTTAATATCTTATTTTGCTAACAGATGCTTAAAACAAAGTAACAGCTGGGTGGAAGACTTCAGATTGTGAAATTTGGGAATATTTTATAACATCTGCTATATAGTTTCTCCATTTTCATCTTTTTCCTCAGCTACCACTGAAATCACTGAGGATAAAATTTCTGTTTTTGAATGGGAACTCCGCTATAGTAACAAAAACGAGTTTCCATCCATGCAAATGTCAATACAGAAAAGTAAGGTTTCCCTAGTTACTAGGCCATCTAAAACCAGCCATCTGGTTTCATTGTTATTTTAATACTTCAGTTCTTGTGCAATTGCTAATTACTGAAAATAAAAGTCAAAGAGGCTCACATATAAACCTCAATTTAATTCCAGTTCAGTTTAGTGAAGGAGCTGGTGCTTCCACAGCTGAATAAAGATCTCAAGACAGACACCAAAGATGGAGCAGACACAGCAATTTATTTTGTTCTTTTGCTGTAACAATGGTCTTCAAAAAGCTTTAAGAAATCCTAAGTGACTTTTATTGAAAAGAGTCATGTATTATTAGACTTTATAGCAGGTGCTGGATATTGAAAGGCTCTGACAGCCCTGTTTGTCCCTGCTGAGCCTGCCCATGGATCCTCCACCTGCCCCAGGTCCCCATGCCACCCCTGGAGCCTCTGGACTCCAGCTTCCCACAGGCTGGCTCAGCCATGAGCCCTGCTCAACTGGGCTTAGCCATGACCTGGCCTGGCCCTGTCCTCCTGCAGGTGCATGGTTCTGGGGCTGTCCTTACTTGTCCCTGGTTACCCTGCTCCTAGCTGGCATTGTGGGATGGTCCCTGGCTGTAAGATGCTGCCAGGCTCCTCAGCTCCTTCCCAATGGAACTGCTGGTCCTGGCTGGGTCCTGGTATGGGGAGGAATTGCTGTAGGAGGGAGTAGAAAGAGGTCTCAGGCTAGACCACTGTAGGGGATGAGTTACTCCTCTGCTGTGGAGAGTGCTTTGGCGGGTCTTTCCTTCCCACAGCTGTTGTACCCACTCCACACTGCTGGGATCTCTCATCAGGAAATTAACTTCAACATCAAAGCAGAAGTCTGAGAGGAAAAAGCAGCAGAAAGCAGTAGCAGCAGAGGAAATGCTTTTGTTAAGCAGCTGCATGTTGTTATAATAAACAAATCTGAGCTCTAATATAGTTCTCATGCCCTTTCACTAACTTTTAATTATGGTATTATTACATGTTTCACAGTTCTTTTTTTTTTTTTTTTTTTTTTTCCTTAAATACCTGATTAGAAGCTCCCAGTTAATTAATCACTTTTTGTGTACCCTGGCAAAATATACAATAGTAGCAAAGTGTCACTTGTCAATGGATACAATGACAATAATCAATGTGGAATGTCAAAAGAAAAAAATATCATATGAAACAATGACATTAATAACAGAATACTATTTGTTATTACCATACAGTTTATATCCAACTCTTAAACAAATCTTTCTAAAAGTTTCATTTGCCTGCGGAGGCAGAATGACATGTACATTTATGCATTGCTTAGCCACTAAGGAGAAAATTATTGCTGGTCTTGTTGTAATACCTCTCCAGGAAACTTTCAATGTGAGCAGGAACCTTCCCCAAAGTTGATTATTTCTCTTAGATTCTCTTCAGCAAAGATAATAACTAAAACACCCTGGAAAACAGTCATATGAACTCTAATTCCAGTGACTTAGCATCCTGTTAGAAATTATTTCAGAAGTCTGTTCAGACTTCCACATGTAGCTCTTTAGAACCTCCTCATTTTGTTAACAATGTTGGATTCCTGGTAATGCAGCCTGTGTTATTTTATCTCAAAGTTTACCAACAATTTTTTATAACAATATTTTATCTAAATTTTTACCAGCAGATAGCTAGTATCCAATCCTGTAATATTATTTAATTTTAAATTAATGTATTAAACATGTAAACCTATGCAAACTTCACACATATACTATGTTTCCTCTCTCCATTAATCAAGTCATCTTATAGTCTGTCTTAACAATGCCATATGCCAGAGTGACAGTTAATAGCACCATTGAGTTACTCTGTTTACTCTAGCTTTACTATGGCTTACTGCCCTTAAATCTTCAGGTAATTTTTTTATCTGGACACCAGCATAATAACTTACTTCTAAAATACTGTTCCAAGCAGTGGTATTGAGCTTCTTGTACTTAACATTCTCCACTGGGCTCTTATCCAAGTACCTCTTGTGAAAATGCACTGCCTAAGTTGGAATAAATCTACCCAGCCTTACCTCCAGTTTCAAGCCAACTGAAACCCAAAGAGACTTCTGAGAAGAGGCATGGAATGTTGAAATAGGAGAAAATTACTTCCTTGTGGCTAAAAAATTTGGCTGAGACAAGTTCACTGTAAAGGAAGAAGTGAAGCTATATGCAGCACCATTTATTATTTGGAAATTTTGAAGTTACTAACATGAATAGTCTATTAAAAATATTGTTAAACATTTCATAGAACGTGAAAAGGCTGTTTTTAGTATTAGTATAAAGAGTCATTTTTATTCAAGTACCAAACCCACATATTTTCTACAATATTTTACTGATTTTGTATCCTTACATACTTAAAAAGTCTCCAATAAAGAAAAAAAAAAAAGTACCACCAACATTTCTGTTAGTGTTTGCAAGTATTAAGAAGACACAGCTCAAAATTTCTCTGCAGCAAAAATCCAAATACAGACCCAGAAAACTGGCAGAGCAGAGATGGAAAGCCTTGAAGATTCAGGCCTCTTTGCCAGTAGGAAGTTGGGGAACATGTTGGCCCACATGCTAATGATGGGAAGAACTGGTGTCCCTGAAACAGTCACTATCCCCTGACATCTCAGATGTTCTCTCAGCAAAAAAACTGTAGTGGGCCTGCCTTTTCAGGGCTTCTTATTGGTAAGATAGTCAGGGGTACCACCACAAGCAGTTTGACTATTAGCTCTTCTTTTCCTGTGTCTAGCATTTGATAGGTTAAATTCAAAGCTTTTTATGTTACTGTGTTTTCAAAGAAAAGAGAAAGATTCTGCCCAAAGAGAAAGATTCTACCCAGCTCTAAAGGAAGAAGTGGGAGGTGGGAGAGGCTAATAATAAGGGGAAGAGGTTTGAGGAACTTCCCTGACAGCCTACCTCTACAGCTGTCCCTGGCTGATTGATCATTGCTTTAAGTTTCTCTGAGAAGTCCATGCAGTCACAGTGGAAGAACTGATCTCCATTTATACATACCTGCTAGCACCAACACAGCTTTTGAAATATTCATACAGTGCTCATACTCTCCCTGCAAGAGATTACTTCTGGTAATGGCCTATGCCTGAGCGAACACATGGGCTAGTTCAGTGTGTATAAATGACTGTAAAATGAACTGCAGCACAGAGTCTTGTAGATCCTCCTCTGTGTTTCCAATACCAAGCAGGAATTTCCAAGCAGGAATTCACCCTTTGCCTGGACTGTCACTGGGACTGGATGCCTCTTTTTTGCTTTAGCATATGTTCTGTCATGGAGGCACAGGTAGACCTATGAATAAATTATTACTGGAAAGAGACAATGTTATTGTCATAGTAATAAGAAAAATTGCTTTCTTGTTAATGAGTTCCTTTATGCTTTCCAAAAAAGCAGCTGAATACTAAGTATATGCTAGTGTCTGTTAAACAATATGAATACAGGAATTTTACAGGCATTCTGTTCCACAAGAAGTTTCAATTATACTGTTGGTTTCATAGTGCAACCTAATTTCAGAAATAATATCTAAAAAAGTGACATACTTATAGTCAGTTGGAACATAACAACTTCCACCACCCAGAAACTTTAGTATTAAGGAAATATACCATTGGGAAAGCAAAATATATGGCTGGTTTTATTGTAGATGCCAAGTGTGAAGCATACTAATAAAGGAATTACCATAACACAGGCTATCATTGTATCCAGCAGATGCATATGTTTCAAAGAGAAGCTGCAATACTTTCTGAAGGTGCAGCTGTGAATGCTGTTGGAACTTCTGGCTGTTGTACAGAATATCACTTTAACTCTTATACATTTTGGCAGTTCACTTTTGTCACAAGTTTTATGAAGTGATGTGATGAAGTTGTTCTTTCCAGAGACACACTGAAAAGGCCAGTTTCACCTGTTAATCACATGGTAGTTAATATCGTGATCAGGGGCTTGGGCAAATTCTTACCACACAGTTGCAAGTTTAACAGGGCAATTGCTCCACAGCTGGCTGAAGCATAGATACAGATCTGCCAACCCACTGACTCATGCTATGGACTAAACCAGGTGTCTGTGCCTTCAATTTGTGTTGAAATCACAGTGTAATGATCACTGCTGTAATGGATTGCATTATTCATCTTTGTCCAAAAGGCGTTCTTAGGCCTTAAAAATTTAGAAACTAAATTCAAATAATTCAAATAGCTGGAAGATGTTATGTATGTATTGAAGTTCATCCTCCTTTTTGTAAGAACTTTTTGCTTTTGAAAACAGAAATACTGTAAATCAAGCAAACAGGAAAGCACAGCAGAGATTTTAATACATATCCTTTATGAACTAAATAAATACTTTTCTAAATATATTGTTTAAAAAAATGTGGGGTGTAAATCAACTAATGTGGCTAACCAGGTGCTAGCTGGCAAGATGAAAAGCAAAGCAGTAGCAGCCAGTTAGGAATTTCCAGAGTGTACTAATGTTTTTGAATACAAAACAAAATAATAGTTAACTAAACCAGTCCTTTCAAAATCTGGGCTGATCCACCGAATGTGGATCCAACAAGAATGTTTTTTTTTTTTTTTTTTTTTTTAATATTATTATTTTTTTTTCCTTTTTGCTACTTATCAGTCCTTTTCTGAGCTCTCTTCTTGAACTTCCAAGCACTGTGAAGGCCAAGTGAAATTCCAGTTAACTTTGAACACTTGAGATGTCATGCTGTCATTGTCCTCTCTCAAAATCGGTGTTTCTTCATTCTTTTACTTTGGGTCTTATTTCTATAACAGTTCTTCTGTCTCAAATACCATATATCATATATGGTGCTTGTAAATACATTGTACATATATCACTTGTACTACTGAAATGCAGAACTTAAAGAATTCTACAGCTATTATCCATTTTAAAAGGTACAAAATTGACAATTCAAGACATGCTACTGATTTATATTTCCTGAAATGTTATACTCTTGTTAACATTAATCTAAATTTAATTTCAGTTATTTGTACAAAAATACAGTTATGGAAAGAAAGAAGACTGCTTTCTCACACTTGCAAATGTTATTTAAATATCAGAATTGTGAAGTGATAGCCATGTATTTAACCTGTTGAACATAAAAGAGCCTATTGATACAACATTGGAATTTGTGCTCACAGCACAAAGTCCATACTTTCTATTACAGAATTTTTGAAAATTTCTCATTCAGATATACAGATTTGAAATAAAGCAGATTTTATATTTTTACTTCTCAAAGGAGAAACTAAATAAAAATAAACAAAGGTGAGTTTGAAATATTACACAGAAAAATGTTATGTGAATTATGTCATATATTCAGCTGTTAAAGGTGGCTGGACCTGTTTTCACACCCATCTCAATATGTAAAGATGAATTGAGAAAGTTAACAACAGAACAAGTGTGAAATGGAATATGAATACACCCATCCTTTAAAACTGCAAAGTAATACATGGGTGGACACTGCCTTCCAATGTTATTCATGCTAGATACGTCAATGGTAAACACACAGAGTGACTCATTGAATGAAAATTTATTTTGCACGGCTACTTCTGTATTTAGTTCTTCCTCATGACCATTTTAAATGTTCACTATAATGTTGGCCTTAGTGCCATGGATTTAGCTTAATGTTTATAGCTAAATCAATCAAATATGATGTAAGATTACCATTTACATATTGACACATAATTTAAAAACTGAGGATTACATTTATGAACTAAATTTTAAAAGTTTAAAATTGCAACAGAGATATACAGTGATGCTGCCCCTGCAAAATATGTATTGCATAAAGATTTTAATGAAAACATCAAGCATCTTTTGTTTTCACCCCATAACATTTAGATGATGAGAATTTTCAGGTGTTGTGGTTTGACTCCAGCAGGCATCTAAGCCCCACACAGATGCTTGCTTACTGCCTCTCAGCAAGATAGGGAAGAGAATCAGAAAGGTAAAAGTGTGAGAACTAGTGGGTTGAGATAAAGATAGTTTACCAGGTACAGCCAGAGCTGCATGCACGAGCAAAGCAAAACAAGGAATTTATTCACTGCTTCCCTTTGGTGGGCCATTTCAGACATTTCCAGGAAAGCAGCATCCATCACACACAGCATTTCTTGGGAAGACAAACACCATTGTTGCAAATGTCCACCCTTCCTCTTTCTTTCCCCCTAGCTTTTATTGCCTAGCATAATGTCTTATGGCATGGGACATCCGTTTGGCCAGTTTGGGTCAGCTGTCCTGGGTGTGTCCCCTCCCAGCTTCTGTTGCACCCCCAGCCTCCTCACTGGCAGAGCAGCATGACAAGCAGAAAAGTTCTTGGCTCTGTGCAAGGACTCAGCACTACTCAGCAACAACTAAAACACTGATGTGTTATCAGCACTGTTGTGGTCACAAATCTGCAACACAGCATCATAAAAACTGCTATGAAGAAAATTAATTCTATCCCAGCCAAAGCTGGTACACAAGAAATCATTTTATATAGCTACCTGGCTGAAAAGAACACATTTGGAGAATCACCAAATACATAATACTGCCTTGCTTTCTTGTTTTCACATAATGAATTTATTCCTCACTCACATCTACTACTACAGGTACACAGTTATTTTGTTAATATCAGTGGATATTGTCTCTTCACATCTTGTGAAAAGTACTTCCTAAACAGGTTCACCTAAATTTATGGAAGAATACTGCTTTCATTGACAGTTTGTGCACTCTTCATGGAGAACACATACTGTGCTGTTCCTTCTTACACAGGTGGTCCCATTGATGTCAAGGCGGTTATCAGAAAGGGTAAAGTGTATGAAATGGGTTTACTCAAAGGAAAAAAATCCTTGCTGAATGATGTAAATGACAGGATGTGTTTCAGCTTCAAGTTTTCATTCTGATTATATTCTTACATTAGGCTGTTGAAATAAGTCCAGTCAATAGGTTACCCACTTCTGGAACACTGAACTGCAAGTCAGCATTTGCAATTCTACCCTCAAAAACTTCCTTTTCCCTTCTTCTGGACAAATTTAAGTTCTCTTTTGGGACTTACACTTTAAAACCTGTATGTCAAATGTGTAGTTATATTATAATTATACTCTGTTTTTTGTATGTTTTTGAGTGCTCTTCCCAAAGAATGGTGCATTAAGCTATATTGCACAGTTCCCAAGGGAACACATCTCTCATCAGAATTTGATTTAAAATGCTTGTGAAGAGTTAGATAATTGTTCAGTGAAAAATGTTTGATGTCACACCAATTCCATATGTTCGCTAGGGTATGTACTACCATAACTTGTAATTATGAGAGTTATAATTAGCTGCAAAAACAATGGAATCATAGCTAGGACAAACTAAGGTGACACAAGATTTGCCAGCAAATTCCTGATATGTTGTCTCTGTAAAGTAGTTTGAGATGCTATATTTAAACAAACTCAGTTCTTTCTTTCCCTTCCCACTCAAGTTGTGACATCTATCTCTTGGATTACATGCCAGTTTAATTTATTTAGAATGCTTTCCATTCTATTTAATTCCTTCTCAAAATTTCCCTTGGATGACTAGCACTCTTCCAAAGAGCACACATGTATACTCTAAGTGGAATCAGTTTGTCAGTTTCTCCTGGTTAGTAATCTACTATTCTAAAAAACTCTTAAAGTCAGGGTGAATTTTAACAACTTATAAGATCTCCAGCTTCACAAGTATGAGCTGCATGCTTGGAACAAGTACAAGACTCTCTGAAATTCATTTAATATTGCCAATACTTTATAAATAAACTTAAAATAATAGGGCATTAAAAAAGACATGGTTAAAAAAATGTGTACCCCCTGCTGCTTATCATTCCATCTTTGAATAGTTGGCACTATTTAATATGCTGTATTCCAATAAAATTTGGAAAAGTATTGATAATATGAGTTATTTCTTAATCAAATC